TCAGCTCCCCCGACCCAATGCCATCTGTCAGCACCCTCCAGCTGGCGGCGACATCTGGCAGCCACCCGCCATCTGGCCATTCTCCCATGCATGCATATAATCCCCTGCATTTCGCCTTGTTTGTCATTCTCTCCTAGTGCCCTTCCTCAGTGACTGCCCTCTGCAGTCAGGTGTAAAGCCCTTCTCTCACAACAGGTTATGGGCCCCAACCCCCGCTGCACCAACTGAACCCCAAGGAAGTTTCCCCTTTGTACCTTCATCCCTCACCATGGCTGCGGAAGCCAGCAAGCCCCTGGTTGAGTGCCTGGACGTGGACAACTATGCCACCTGGCGGATCCTGATGAAGTATGTCCTCATCTCCAAGGGCCTGTGGGCCGCTGTGGAGAGCGACACGGTCGAGCATGAAGATGACCAGAAGGCACTGGCCACCATCGGCCTGTACGTGAAGGAGCACCACCTGTCCACGCTGGAGCGCTGCGGCACCGCCAGCGAGCGTGGATGGAGCTGGAGAGAGTCTACCAAGCTAAGAGCAACGCGCGCAAGCTGCAGCTACGCATGCAGCTGAGCCAGCTGAAGATGGGCGCCACCGAGCCCCTGACCAAGTATGTGTCCCGTGCCAAGGAGATCCAGGCCCAGCTGCGCGCTGCCGGCCAGGATGTGGCGGACACCGAGATCGCCTGGTCCGTGATGTCCGGCCTGCCGTCTGCCTACGCAACGATGGCCACCGTGATCACTGCCACCACCGACGGGGACCTGATGTTGGACGGCGGGCCACCTGGCTGCACCAGCGCCCGCCAGCTGTCCAGCCTGCTCACCTACAGCACCCACCGCGTTGGGACGCGGCCAGACCGAAAGCCAGATGGCCAAACCGAAAGCCACGTGCCCCACACCCGCGCCAGCTGGCAAAACCCAACGGTCAGCTCCCCCGACCCAATGCCATCTGTCAGCACCCTCCAGCTGGCGGCGACATCTGGCAGCCACCCGCCATCTGGCCATTCTCCCATGCATGCATATAATCCCCTGCATTTCGCCTTGTTTGTCATTCTCTCCTAGTGCCCTTCCTCAGTGACTGCCCTCTGCAGTCAGGTGTAAAGCCCTTCTCTCACAACAGGTTATGGGCCCCAACCCCCGCTGCACCAACTGAACCCCAAGGAAGTTTCCCCTTTGTACCTTCATCCCTCACCATGGCTGCGGAAGCCAGCAAGCCCGTGGTTGAGTGCCTGGACGTGGACAACTATGCCACCTGGCGGATCCTGATGAAGTATGTCCTCATCTCCAAGGGCCTGTGGGCCGCTGTGGAGAGCGACACGGTCGAGCATGAAGATGACCAGAAGGCACTGGCCACCATCGGCCTGTACGTGAAGGAGCACCACCTGTCCACGCTGGAGCGCTGCGGCACCGCCAAGCGAGCGTGGATGGAGCTGGAGAGAGTCTACCAAGCTAAGAGCAACGCGCGCAAGCTGCAGCTACGCATGCAGCTGAGCCAGCTGAAGATGGGCGCCACCGAGCCCCTGACCAAGTATGTGTCCCGTCCCAAGGAGATCCAGGCCCAGCTGCGCGCTGCCGGCCAGGATGTGGCGGACACCGAGATCGCCTGGTCCGTGATGTCCGGCCTGCCGTCTGCCTACGCAACGATGGCGGGCCTTGTGGCGCTCAATGTTGCCGTTGGCATCGCGCTTCTCCTTGTACACCCACTTGACTGGGATGGGCTTGATGCTGGGAGGCGCAGGTTGCAGGGTCCAGGTGTCGTTGGCGGCGAGGGATGCAATCTCCTCATCCATGGCGAGGCGCCACTGGTCGGCCTCGGGGGACTGCAGGGCTTCCTCCAGGCTGGTGGGCTCAGCAGCGGTGGTGGCAATGTTGACGATGGCGGTGGTGCGATCAGTGATGCGGTAGGCGTCGTCCTGCCACAAGCTGGCTGGGCGGCGTGCAGCGGCGCGCTCGGTGCGTCGCAGTGCGATGGGAGGTGAAGGTGGAGCTTCGGGCTCGGCTGGCGCTCCCACGGCTTCATTGTCGTCGGTGTCGCTGAAGGGAATGGTCTCGGGCAGGCTGGTCTTGGGCAGGCTGGTCTTGGGCAGGTTGGTCTTGGGCAGGATGGAGCTGGTCTCATCGAAGGTGACATCGCGGCTGATGACGGTTGTGCCGTTGTCAAGTAGAATCTTGTATCCCTTGGTGTTGGCGGGGTAGCCGATGAAACGGCCGGGCTCGCTGACGGCGTCGAGCTTGGTGCGCAGCACGGTGGGAACGTGGGCGTAGGCTCGGGCTCCGAATGTGCGCAGGTGGGACAGGTCAGGCTTGGTGCCGTGGAACAGTTCGTAGGGGGTGGTGGCTTGGGATGAGATTGGAGAGCAGTTGCGGAGGTAGTTGGCGGTGACGATAGCTTCTGCCCACAGGAACTTGGGCAGGTTGGCATCCGCCAGCATTGGGCGCGCCTTATCCAGCAGCGTGCGGTTGAGACGCTCGGCTTTGCCGTTCTGCTGGGGCGTGTAGGGGACGGAGGTCTCTGACTTGATGCCCTTGGACTGGTAGAAGGTGTCCAGTTCGGTGTTGATGAACTCGCCGCCATTGTCGGAGCGAATGCGCTTGACAGTGTAGCCGGTCTGGCGCTCTAGCATGGTGGAGGACTTGGTGTAGTCGTCCAGGATGGTCACGAAGTACTTGCTGCCTCCCAGGGAGGTGACAGGCAACGGGCCGCACACGTCGGTGTGCAGCAGCTCCAACTTGGAGGAGGCGGCGCTGTCGCCGCTCGCCTTGAACGGCGCACGCTGCGCTTTGCCGAGGGCGCAGGGCTCACACGGTGGCCCGGCGCCTGCCGCCTTGAAGTCGTTGGCGGTGGTGGCGATGCCGGTGACCATGTCCTTGGTCTGAAGGCGCGCCAGGTTGTCGTAGCCCAGGTGGCCGAAGCGCTGGTGCCAGAGTTGGGGGCTCTCCTTGGAGACGCGCGCCACGTGGGCCTGCTCGGCCCGGCCCGTCAGGGTGTAGACTGAGTCGCCGTGGCAGGGCGCGGTGGCCAGGACCTGGTCGCCCTGCCAGATCTCGCAGGCGTCGGCCATGAACTTGAAGCTCAGGCCACGCCGCGTGGCTTGCCGCACGGAGAGCAGTTGCTCGGCGGCGCCTGGGACGTGCAGCACGTCGCGCAGGATGAAGGGGCCGTTGGGCGTGTGCAGCAGCACGTGCCCGGCAGTGGTGGCTTTGCCAGTGCCGCCGTTGCCAAAGGTGATGGTGATGGCCTCCTTCAGCAGGTAGGGGTCGAGCAGAACAGAGGAGTCGTGAGTAAGGTGGCAAGATGCACCGGTGTCTAGCACCCAGCGTTGGGAGCTGTCACTGCCCTGGCTGGTGCTGCAGCTGCTCCGGCTAATGTTGTGGCTGCGCCGGCTGATCCTGTTCTGGCTGCTCCACCTGGTGTTGAGGACACCCCCCCGTCCGCTGCTGGGTGGCCCCAGGCAGAGGGGCCCTGCTGAGGCTGACGGGGCAATGGCAGCGGCAAACCGCTGGTGCGGGCGCTGTTGCTGGCGGCGTGGGCGCTGCTGGTCTGCCCGCCGCTGCTGCTGCTGCTGGCTGCGCTCCTGCGCCAGCTTCCTACACTCAAACTTGTGGTGGCCCAGGATGCCGCAATGAAAGCAGGGGCCCTTGGACTTGCCACCGGGGTGGTTGCTTGGACGGCCCGGCCCGGCGTGGCGGTCCTGAGCGTTGGCCATCAGCGCCTCTTCGCTGGGGCGCTCTGTCTTCTGCTCGCTGTGCTCCACGGTGAGCAGCTTGGGCAGGATGTCATCCAGGCTCAGGTCCCCGTCGGTGGTGGCGGTGATTACGGTGGCCATCGTTGCATAGGCAGACGGCAGGCAGGACATCACCGACCAGGCGATCTCGGTGTCTGCCACATCCTGGCCGGCAGCGCGCAGCTGGGCCTGGATCTCCTTGGCACGGGACACATACTTGGTCAGGGGCTCGGTGGCGCCCATCTTCAGCTGGCTCAGCTGCATGCGTAGCTGCAGCTTGCGCGCGTTGCTCTTAGCTTGGTAGACTCTCTCCAGCTCCATCCACGCTCGCTTGGCGGTGCCGCAGCGCTCCAGCGTGGACAGGTGGTGCTCCTTCACGTACAGGCCGATGGTGGCCAGTGCCTTCTGGTCAGCTTCATGCTCGACCGTGTCGCTCTCCACAGCGGCCCACAGGCCCTTGGAGATGAGGACATACTTCATCAGGATCCGCCAGGTGGCATAGTTGTCCACGTCCAGGCACTCAACCAGGGGCTTGCTGGCTTCCGCAGCCATGGTGAGGGATGAAGGTACAAAAGGGGAAACTTCCTTGGGGTTCAGTTGGTGCAGCGGGGGTTGGGGCCCATAACCTGTTGTGAGAGAAGGGCTTTACACCTGACTGCAGAGGGCAGTCACTGAGGAAGGGCACTAGGAGAGAATGACAAACAAGGCGAAATGCAGGGGATTATATGCATGCATGGGAGAATGGCCAGATGGCGGGTGGCTGCCAGATGTCGCCGCCAGCTGGAGGGTGCTGACAGATGGCATTGGGTCGGGGGAGCTGACCGTTGGGTTTTGCCAGCTGGCGCGGGTGTGGGGCGCGTGGCTTTCGGTTTGACCATCTGGCTTTCGGTCTGGCCGCGTCCCAACGCGGTGGGTGCTGTAGGTGAGCAGGCTGGACAGCTGGCGGGCGCTGGTGCAGCCAGGTGGCCCGCCGTCCAACAGACTTCCCTGCGGGCATTGGGCCTGACAAGTCACACCGCTGGGTGCCTGCGCACACTCTGCGTGCGGATTTGGATCCTGCCTCTTTTGCGCGGTTCGTGGAGGAGCTTGCGCAGCGCAATGCCAAGGTGCAGCCTGGCCCGGTGCCGGCACGGCGGCCTGGCCGCAAGGTTGCTGCTGGCAGCGCCCCCTCGGCGTCTGCCCCTGCGCGGCGCTCCCCCCGACTTGTATCTGCTTAATTCCCCTGCTTCGTATGTCCCTCGATGTACTTCTACTTCTGTTCCTTGCGCCTACTCTCTCTCTACACTGCTTTGACCGCATTGTTTCTGCTCGGCAGCTTACGCGGTTACGGCTCGAGGACGATGCCTATTCCTGGAGGGGGGCAGTGTAGTAGGAGCAGCGCTGCAGCGCCGGCGACGGCGCCGACGGCGCGGCGTGCATGCTATGCTGTTTAGCCCCTTTTGCTGGTGTTTCCGCCTGCCCCTGGGCCTTTCTGCTGGGGTGCAGGCGCCGCTGTAAGCACGCTTATACCTTAGCAGAGAGAGCCATAGTCAGATAGAGCGATCAGCGGGATAGCGGAGGCTAGTCCTGCTACAGGGACGGACGCCGGCGGCAGGCCCAGGAACTCGTGGAACAGCTCCGGCCAGCGCTCGCGCTCGGCGGCATACACGGGGCACACAAACAGGATGTGTCGGGTGTCCTCAATGCCGCCAGGGCCATCCAGGGCGGGGCACACGCACTGCTCGCGGGGCGTGCCAGTGCGGCGCCCCTGCTCCTCCGCCCCCCAGTGCATGCCTGTGCGCAGCTCGGTCAGGCCGCGGCGGCAGATAAATGGGGCAGTGGAAAACCATATGGGTCTCGTCTTCAATGGCGGGAGAAGCACACAAGAGGCAGGTGCGTTAATGGGTGGGGGCCTGGATGGCCTTTGGCAAATAGCGTTCCCGTTCGATGCGAAGGTCATGGCAACTGGTTCTAAAGCGAGTGAGGGCGATACGGCGATTGGGGTCATAGACTTCAAGCAAGTGAGGTGCTGGTTGGGAGAGGGGCAGGCCGCCGCGAATGTGCTGTAAGTAGTAGGCAAATTTGTTGGTACTGCTGGCTGTTACTGGGGGCTGCTGCTATTGGCAGATGCTGCTGGCTGCTGCTGGCTGCTGCTGGCTGCTGGCTGCTGCTCTCGGGCTCCGGCTTGGTCAGCGCGGGCTCCAGGGACTGGCGAAGGTAAGCTGCTGCTGCGCGCTCCACCACGGTCTTCTCATCCAGCTCCGTCAGCCACACGATCGTTCCGCTGTCCGTGGGTGCCGACAGCAGAAACTGCTGCCAGCGCCGGCACCAGCAAGGCGAGCCGGCGGCGAGATCGGTCCCCTCGCGCATCAGCGCCAGGTTGTCCTCAAAACGCCCAGGCCAGGACCCGGTCCGGCTCGGCCATGCTGGCTTGCAATTCCAGGCGCGCACCAGCTGCTGCACCCAGGCCAGGTGCAGCGGCTGACGTCGGAGCCAGCATGCAGTCCTGCATGCCACACTGCAGCTCCTCCACCGGGCAGCGCGGCACGGGTGCGGGACCCAATGCTGCCAGCAATGCTGTCATGCTCAGGCCAGCTCCACCTGCATGCTACCCACCAACTCAGCATCCCAGACATTCTCATACATCAATACCGAGTCCCAGACCAGATGGCACCAGCACAGCAGCTCACACCAGCTCTGGGCAACATGCAGTGCCGCTCGGGTAACTGCATCAAGCAAGCGGGCTCGGCGGCCAATGGCCCGACGGCCACAGGCAGATCCCACGTGCACGCTACCCTAGTTGATGGGTACATCAACTCAGCATTCATGCCTTGAACACACACACACCAGGTGGTTGGTGAGCATGGTTGGCGAAATGCGAGCAACCCCTCAGAGGCACGTTTATCATACATCCGGGGGGGGAGAATGGAATGCATCGATGATTGACATGTCATACAACAGTTGCAAGCATACAAAACAGAATGCGGCCATGCGGCGTCCAATTATGTCCCGCCTGTTAAAACGATGAATCAGCATCAGTAACAGGACTGGTCAAGAGTTGAGGCGGCGCTCCATTGCATGTTCCCTGTCCAGGGTGTTGCGCACGCCGAGGAGAGCTGTTCGCATGGCAGTGGCCGCCGCTGACGCCGCTGACCTTGGGCCAATGGAGGATGAACGCAGGTGGGCGCTAGCCTGCATCACAGACGAGCCGAAAGCGTCAACATCTCAGCATCTGCTAGAAACGGCACCAAGAAGCAGTGCCGTTGTGTGGCCCTCGAAACGAACAGCCACTTAGCTTACCTGCCGCAATGCCTGTTTCACACCAGCCGTATGCGAGGCACTCGATTCCCCCGCCAGCGCCACCTCTGCGCCTGCTGCCATGGTGGCACCCAGGTTGAGCGCCTCCAAAGCTACTGCGCGCACAAAGCCTGCTAGGCCACGTTGCATTTGGCGGCGAAAGTCCTCGTCAACCAGTGCCGTTAACGACAGGGTGCCACCACCACCTATGAAGAGCGCAGGGAAGTAAGGAACACACAAGGAAGGTGAACTACCACGGCCAGGAGGTTCCATGTCGTGTGTTGGCTTTGCCGGCCGCATGGACGAGCCCTGCCACGAGCACAGACAGCCCACCTCACCTCCATGGCTACTGCGTGCGTACAGCTGCTGCTTGGGTATCGCCAGCAGCTGTGCGGCTGCAGAAGACACCCGGCAGATGGACTTAATCGGGGCAATGCCTCCAACAAAGCGATGAGCCTGAAAGCGCGCAATGTCCTCGACGTAGGCAGACGCGACAGAAGTGCCTACAAGGGACAAAGAGCAGCAGAAATGCCAGCTGAAGAGTGTCTGGCCAAGCATGCCAGCACAATCAACAGTCGTTGCCGCAAGTGCGCGGGGGCAGTGGATCCCTCGCTGGGCCCACAGAGGCAGGGAAGTGCGAGCAGGGGGGGTGACGCATGAAGTGGCGGCGGCGGCAAATGCTGGCAGCCCTGGCTGGTTGAGGCAGCTCGCTGCTCGCAATCCCCGCCACCAGCTTCATGCGCGGCAGCTTCGGGGGCGGCTGCCGCACTCAGCAGCGGCCTCGCTGCTGCCTGCTGTGTCGACTGGCGACACCGCATTGGCAGCCAGGCCCCCAGGGGCAGCGAAACGGTGACCCTCAACACCAGCGTCTCAGGCCCTGTGGGCCTGAGACAGAGGTGCTAGCCCGCAGAGGCGTGGCTCACATGGCGCCCGACGCTGCCTCCCACACCACCACAGCGTCACACCGACGGCGGAGGCGCCGGGCTGGCGGGCCTGCTTTCGTCTGGCAAGCAGCAGACACATTGGTGGCGGGCGGTCCCCGCCACCAATACTGCCAGGCTTTGGGGCAGCCTCAAAGCAGCCAGAGTTTGCGGCCCACAGTGGGCGTCCTGAAGTGGGCCCGCAGCGCCAAACCCACGGCTGAGGACCCGTCCGGGCGGTCCTGGCCTTCCCTTGAAGTGCCGGCGGGCGGGCACCCACACCAAGAGGAGCGACAGCGAAACCTACCGATGCCAGCCAGCCCTTGAATGCCGAACAGACGTAAGTGGCGGAATTGCAGGCTAACGCCGCCCCATGGCACCAGGTTCAACACCTCCGACAGCTGGCCGCTGCAGTGGCAGGTGCACAAGCGCAAATGGTGAGATAAAGCCATGCTGGCTGCCGCAAGCGCCCCATTCATGCAGGGTGCAGGACGTTTCCGCTGCAGCCACACCTGCTGAGGGCTGTCAGGTCAACGCGGTGGGGCCGATAATTGATGGTTAGCGTGAAGGGCTGCACCTCGCACCGTTGGAAAAACAAGTCCCCAACTGCAGCCAGCCAAGCCAGCAAGACAGAGTGCACATACCCCGTATTCGGAGAGCAGAATTGACGAGGCAGTAAGCCGGGTGGGCTGCTATGGCTGTGGCAGCAGGATGGGACAAGCAAGGGAAGGCCCACCTGTGGAAGACGGGGGCACCACGTCACTGGTCCCCGGCTTGGTGCCACTGCTTTCGCCCCCAAAGCCGTCGGCAGTAGGGGCGAAGAAATGTTGCAGGAAGGCCAAGGCCGCCTGATCCAGGTGCAGCAACAGCGGCAGAAGCTGGGCTTGTATGCGGTACTCCAATTCTGCAGGGTCAAATGCAGGGAATGAGAGGCATTTGCCTGAAGCACTTGCCAGCAAGCAATCTCGCCAAATGCTGCAGTCGACGAACCAATTGTTTGAGTGGGTTTGCAAAGAATTGAGGGGTCGGCAAGTTACAGGGCCCAACTTGCCTGCTCCCGGCTCGGCGCGGATGGCCTCTACCACAAACTGCACCATGCAAGTCTTCCCACCACGCACACGGTGCACTGACGCATGGTAGCCCAGCATGCGGCGCAATTCAGACCAGCCAGTTGCGGCGGCGGCCGTGGCAGATGAAGCGGTGCCGCCTTGGCGCGGTTGGAAGCTGTCGCGCACCTCCAGGTTGCGAACCACAAGCGCACAGTGCAGGCTGGGGACAGGTGCATCGTTGCCGCCACCCTCCTGCTCTCCCGTCTCCTGCTGTTCCGCAAAGCTGTCCAATTGCAGACACACACCCTCCAACCGTGCCTGCACCTGTGCGCTCAGCGGCACCACCTCCTCCTCGCCACCGCCGTCGCCGCCGCCTGGTGCTGCTCTTGGTGCTGCCATGCTGTCGTGATGATGCTCCAGCTGACCTGAGCCAGACGACGTTGAGCCCAACCTCTCCAAGTCGTCGTCTCTTTCGTCCTCAGGCAGCAGCACGGTGGCAAATGTGTCTGCAACCCAGCCCGCATGCAGTCTGCTGGTCAGGCATGCACTTTGGGGGCGCCAAGGTTGGCTGCCCTCTCGTGTGGCACGCACATCACGTTGTAAACCCACTATGGGTGGGGTTTAGGTACCATACACTGCTCGGGGAAACAACAGCAACAAGTGAAGGCGCACCTGCCAGCATGATGGTGATGCTGATGTCCTGCAAAGTGATCCGTCTGTAGACACACAAGGCAACAAAACCAATGACATACACTCAAGAAGAGCTAAAAGTCGAGGGCACTAGTTAGATGCGGGTCACACCTCTTCGGAAGCACGTGGCTGGGACGCAGCACGCGGCAGTCATAGTCAGCGGAGCCAAAGCTGCAGTGTGGAAGGCATAGGACAGACACGGTAAGACGGCATCGGTACGATGCAGGCACTGGCCCAGCAGCCAGAGATCGCAAAGACCGAGAATGGTGCTGCGTCTGCACAGGAGAGCCTGACGCACGCACACCCAGAACCTGGTGCCGGTCTCCCCTTCCAGCAGTCCTACACACGCACACCTGGTGGCCACCTCATCTTTGCCTGGAGCCGCCAGCGTCACGTACTCCTCCAGCAGCTCTGGGATCGTGCCTCCCCCAGGAATCCCATCGTACCACACGCCTTGCTCCTCCTGGGCAGCAGCAGGCCTGCAACAGGACAGACGAGGTGCGAGCACCAGGGCATCAGCCACACACTGCACGATCATGGTCCAATGCCGCATAACAGACTGTGCACAAGTGGAAAATATGCACAACCGTCGACAAGAACTTCAGTCCTCAGCGCACCCGCCATCCGCAAACCCCTCCACGAAGCTCTCCACCATGGCAGGTGGGCTGCCAGCGGGGGACATGATGTAGGGGCAGTCCGTGCCCGCCTGCTGTGGGTCATACCACCCACCTGCAAAACAGGCGCAGCATAATAAGGGGGGGCATGGCTCAACTGGTGCAATGCGTGTGTTTGCACATACATGCAGCACGAATTTGCATGTACCCATTAGCTCACCATCTAGGAAAACAGACGCCTCCTGCTGATGCTCTACTGGACGCTGCGGGCTGGCGTAGGCAGACTGCACCACGCCCTGCATCACGTTCAATGCTATCTCTTGCCGCGTGCTCTTACTGCTTCCTGGCATATGATCAGCAGCCATACTGCATCTCGAAAGCTCCAGCAGTCTATGGCACCCGTTGCTGCTGTTGCTGGTGGTGCTGGCACTGTTGCCGGTGCTTCCACTGACGCTGGCTGGGAGCTGCCGCACCAGGCGTTGCAGCAGCAGAAAAGTATGGCGTGACAGCGCGATGCTCAGCTCCTTGTTGCTGATGGCAATCTCAGGCACCGCTGTTGCCTGCTGGGCATGCCGCTCTGCATGCTGCCCGGCACCTGGCAGCCGCACCGTGATGCCTGCCTCTGCCAGGATCTGGTGGAAGCCAGCCACATCGGCCATTGTGGGCAATGTCCATGATGCTAATCCATCCGAGCTGCCGCTGCGATCACCCTGGCTGGGCTTGTGGGAGCTGCTGCCAGCGTGATCATTGTCTGCTGTTGCGGCAAGGTGCAAGGTCAGGCGGCGTGCCTCGATGCACCTCTCCTGCCTTCCCTGCTGGGACTGCCAGGCAATGCTGGCCACGGTCAGCACAGCTGCCACCAGGCTGGTGTCTCGTGGCTCATAACGGACCGAGCTGCACGACAGATTCACCACCCAGTCCAGCGACACGGGTGGTGGGGACGGCAACATTGGTGCCTTGGCATCCTGCCGCCTGGCTGGTGAAGGCGCGCGACTGCTGCTGCCGATACCTGCTGACAAACCCTGGAGGTCGGCCAGCCACGCCAGCTGCCCTGCCTCATCCAGCACGGCTGTCAGGCCTGCGGAAGTGATCAGGGGTGGAAGAGCTGGGGTAAAAGAACACATCCAGCCAGGCGCACTGGCGGAATATCTATGCAGCAGTACAACGCATGCCCCATTAATGTAGCCTGAAAATCGGTGCAGGTAGCGCTCACCAGTGGTGCAGACAGAGACGCGGCCTCGGCAGGGAAGCACATAGCGCCCGTTGCTGCACAGCATGCATGCATCACCCGTGGGCCTGCACAGTGGGGAAGGGCCACAAAATGTGGGCTGGGTGGAACACAATGTTGGGTTGACACGGAGATGAGAAAGCCAATGAATGCCAGGAGTTGACAACAATTTGCTTGTGCCCAAACAACGAAGGACACAAGCAATGAGGCAAATGCTCACCGCAGCAGTGCAAAGAGGTGCGCTGCGGGCTGCCGCCGTCCATCTGCAAGCTGCCGCCCCGCCACGCGCAGCAGCAAGCGGGCAGGACCTGACAGCTCGGCCCTAGCCAGCTCGATTCCCCCAGTTGTCAGCGCCACTGCGCTGCTGCCAGCTACGCCGCTCATGCCGCTGCAGGCCAGAACGCTCACGGAACGTGCGACAATGCTAAAGGGAGGTCCATGCGGCACTATCAGCGTGCACTGCACCTCGCAATCCAGCAGCAGCGTCGCCTGCGTGGCGGCATCCATTGGCGGAGGCACTGTAGACAGTTGTAACAAGCCATCTGCCAGTTTGGAAGCTGAGGCCAGTACACCTGGCTCCAGAGTCAATGCTAGTGGCGTCTGCCCGCTGATAGCCACTACAAGGCGGGCGTCAGATATTAGCTGCTCTCGCTGGTCGGGCTGACAACCTGCAGTGCAGCTTGCCAGCAGCAGCACCTGGGCATCAGCGTACCTCGTATCAAGGCAATGTAGCGACCGGCACCAAAGGAGCCAATGTGTCAGCTCACCAGGTTCCAGCCCTGCTGATGCCCACAGGCTGTCCAACAGGTCTGCCGCTGGCAAGACGACGGCATGGCGCCAGCAAGCATCGATTGTTAGGCACTGCAACACTGGTGCAGCTTCACCTGCATCACGCATTTGTAGCGAGGATAAGAACACAGAATCAACACAGCGCTGCCAGGTTGCGCCCACATCCACACACTGACACAAAACACACCTTCCATGCTGGCCACCTCGGCTACCAGAAGCGCTGGTCCCAGAAAGGAGTCCCCGGGCTGCAGCTGGGAGCCGCTCACGGCGACAGCATGCACTGCACCGGCGCCGATGCGCAAGGCGCAGGTCCAGGCGCTCCCAGCCGCTGCGACTAAGGGCATGCTATTACTTATGCCATCGCTACTGCTGCCGCCCTGCTGCAGCACTACTGTTGGTTGCACGCCAGACTCGCGCAGGCTGGCTGCCAGGGCCTGCAACAAGGACGGCATGGCGATGAAGTAGTCGTGCACTGGAGGCATGCAACCATCGTGCATTGCAGCTGGCAAGCATCTAGACAGAGCCACTTCTACGTTCGTCGTATAGCATGATGACTGGTACACCAAGAAGGCCGGCCGCTGCCTCACCTGGGCCTGGTGGCTGCCCAGCCGTGGCGCCATGCTGGCCAGTAGGTGGTAGCTGCTGCTCCGCACATCCAGCGCAAAATAATTGGGTGGGGCTTGGGGCAGCGGGGCAGCTGAGGACGCCTCAGGGACAGCTACAATAATGCATGCCGCTGGAAGGTACACACTCAGCCGTAGGGAGGCAGGCGCGGGCGCCATGTGCTCTGCTTCATGTTGAGTGGAGGTGGCCCTGCACAGACATGGATCCAGGGAGCTCAGGTCGAAGAGACCAGCTGCAGCCGCAGAGTCGTATGAAGGCATGCACACAAAACTACCAGTCCGGAGGCGCACCCTTGCTGGCCTTTCGGCCGCTCGTGCTCATGCAGGATGGCACTAATGGCTGCGTCTACTGCTGCTCTGCTGCTGCTGCCACTGCCTGGCTCTGCGGCCGGGGCCATGCTGGGTGCCACTGCCCCATGCAGCAGTGCGGCAGCCAAAAAAAATGACTGCAGGTGCGCCAGCAGTGGCAAAGTGCACCATATGCTGACAGGCTGCAGCATCAGTGCCACATCAACATCAGCCGGCACGTCCTGGTGTTGCTCAGCTGCCACCCCAGCTGTTAGTGCATTGCTGCAATGCAACACCAAGGCAGCACCATTGTGGCTGCCGCAGTGCAGCACTGGCACTATTTGCACACGCGGCAGCGCCTCGATGTCTTGGCATATGCTGGGCTGCTGCAACATGCTGTTCTACAGGGGCAGCAAGGCACCGCAAGTGCACACAGGTGGATGACCCTCTTTCGTATACATGCATGGCACCCTACTCCAAAACGCTTGGTGGCACAGCCATCAACCACCTCAGCACGCCTCGCACCTCCGTTATCGTGGCCGCTGCTGACTGGTAGACGGTAGCCTGGCTGAGGTCAGATAGCTGTGCGAGCGTGTCACCGATGCCCACGCTGGCACTCCCCTCGCCAGGGAGCGGGTAGTCCCCTACGGGCACATGAGCACGTGTGAGGACCAGAGGTTGGGCGGCCGCGCGGCTTGTGATAGTGCATGCAGATGGATGCAAGCTCCGGCCATGCCCGACTGCAGCAAGTAAACAGCGAGAGGCACAAAAACTTTGGTGGCAATAAACCAAAGACCCTGGCACACCTGCAAACGTTGGCAATGACCACTGTACAAGCTGGGCAGATGGAAGCATAGCGGGCACACGCGCCATCTCTTCAGCCGGAACCCAAGTGCTTGGTGAGGTGGTGGCACCGGTGGCAGAGCTGTTGGGGGGGGCGCTGGGGAAGGGCAGATGCTCTGCCACCTCCAGCACCCCCACAGTCAGGCTCAGGCTGCGACTGCTGTTGTGCTGCTGTCCGGATCCTCCATCGGCAGACTGTAGGGCAAGCAACATGCGAGAGGGCAGACACAGACACATAGACCTGGGTGCGGGAGGACGCACACAGACACACAGACAGACGGACGGGCGGGATCCCGGCTAATGGGCAAGGCCCATCCCCAACCACATAGACAGCAAAAGTGCTGCTAACAGCCCATCAAACACTTGCTGCTTGCCTCTGTGTGCATGCCAGCGGTGAGTGACAGGGCCTCGACCACCAGGCGTGGCGCATAGAAGGAATGGCTGTTGCTGCTTGCAGTCTCAAGTTCTCCCGCCGTGTATAGAAGGGAGAGGGCGAGAGAGGGGGCTGACAACGTGATGTCCCAATGCTTATGTTGCACCGCTCCCACCTGCAGCCGTGAGTTCAACAGCATCAGCACAAGTGTTGAGCTGGGCTGGGGCATAATCTGTCCCAGAAGGCTCCACCACGCAGGTTACGGGCCATCAGCAGACCAGCAACAGGCGAGAGATCAAACCGCTGTTTGACTGCCTGCTTCGCGCCACTTCACAGCCCGACAACACCACAGGCAGCTGCAACACACCTGGCGGATGCTTGCAGCCAGGTCATGCATGGCAAAGATGTCTGATGAGCTGAGATCAAGATTGCTGCCGCCCACCACTGAGCTGCCGATGTCGGGGGTGCTGGTCACTGAGGCAAAGCTGGACGCCATTGCTGAGGAAAAAGCCTGCTGTAGAGATCCAAGCAGCGATTTGGCATCAAAATACTCATTGAGCTCCTCCTGCAACGGAAGCGGTGAATGGACACGTTCTTCTGTGGGCAAGGCAAGCTAGCTGCTGCGCCAAAACAGCTGCGCCACAAGCTCCCCAGCCCAGCTTGCACACCACACAACCAAGCCTCTGATGACATACCTGCCCGGTGACACTGGCCGCACTCTCTAGCAGCGCCTCCTGAACCAGCCCTTTGCACCCGGGCAACATCAGGTCCTCGAGGAAGGACGAAGTGGAGGTGTGGGGGTGCAGGTGGCGGCGGGGCTGCAGGTTCTCCTGTTTCACCAGCGATGGTGGCACCAAAGTCGAGCCACCGCTATTGGGGAGCACCGTCACTGGCTGCTGCGGCTGTGTGGCTGCAGCAGTGAAGCCCCGAGCTAGTTGTAGCAGGGCAACCACGTCAGGGGGCCGCAGTTGCAGCTGCACCCCTTCCACCGAGACTGCCACCGAAAGGTGTGGCTGCCGATCGGGCAGCTGGTCTAGTAGCCAGCTGACGGTCACATCCACCTGGCCGTTGAGCGGGGCAAGCAGCGGCGGGCCGCCCTCCTGTGCCAACAGGCACAGGCTGCTGAAGCACAGTCGGCGCGCCGTGCTGGCAGCATGGGAGTCCTGCAAAGTCAGATGGTGTGGACAGATATGCACACCCCTTGGCAACCCTTCGTAGTGTGGGCGGTGTGCCCAGCCACTCGCCTCGCACAAGCAGGCAGAAACCTGCAGCAGCAGCAGCAAGCACACGCAGGCCGCATAGTATTTGGGTGCAACATCCCCACCTGTTGCTGCTGCTCCTGGTTGGGCCTCGCTGCCGCCAAACCATAGGTCAACTGCGCGCATGACATGCATGCGGCAGCAGCCGCGCGTCCGTCTGCTGCACCCTCCACCCGGACACTCAGCCGGTTGACGGTGACGGTCATACGCTGAAGCAGCGTCTCCACCCCTGCCGCCACCAAGCGCAGCCCATCGTCCATGCCAACCTCAGCCAGGCCGCTGCCTATGCCTTCCTGCCCCTCGGCCGGAACCTGCTGCCCCTCAGTATCCAGGTTGGCCGAGGGTCCAGCACCGCCATTGCCAGGGCGCACCGTCAGCAACACATCCTCCAGCTGCACTGCGCAGGTCAGGCTGGTCACCGCCAGGTCCAGTGCCAGTCGCCCGATGTAGCCGCTCACGACGTCCAGCCCAGGCGGCTGCATGCATCTCGGGGGCGTGTGCGTGTGTGTGGTGAGGCCAGCGCCACGGCGCTGGCGCCGGGCGGTGCTGGCGGCGGCAGGACGGCCACGCCGGTGTGGGTTGCACGACTCACCGCATGCCCTGCCAGCCACTCTGGGCTGACGAGCACGTCTTTGAGCTCGAAGCGGCCCTTGCCCAGGCTGAAGTGCAGCTGCTCGGTGTCCAGTTCAGTGGCAAGAATGTGCTTCAGGTGCCGCTTGAGCAGGGCCTTGAGCAACCGTTTGACAGCCCAGTCGGAAACTTGCTGCATTTGGGCGTGTTAGTAAGGTGAGAGCATACTAGGGCAGCAAGGTTGTTGCGGCATGATTGCTGGAAGTTCTAGATGATAACCTCCCTTCCTTGACCTCGTTTTTACACACGGGAGCCAGGGGCTTGACACCCCGTTTCCTCCCAGTACGGCCGAAGTACAAATCACGCGTCCCGCGTATTCTCTTCATCTTCTTCTTCTTCTTCGCCTCCCGCAACACATAGACACACACACCTCACCGTACGATCATCTAGCGCCATGGCTCCGTGCACCGCTGCCACCGCCCCATTGCTGCACTGCTCAGCTTGGGTCAGGGACCCTCAGGTCAGGCAGATGCACAGGCTAGGTGTGGTGGTCCTAGCCTCGCGCCAGAAGAGGAGCTCAAGAGATGCGCAGCAGAAGGAGGGAGGCGACGCGCCACCACCGCCACCCCCGCTGCCTACGGGTGCCATGCCGGGCGCTGTGCCCGTGCCCGACAACGACCCCTGGGAGGCAGGCTCCTGCCGCCCAGCCTGGCCCTCTTGCTGTTCTTTGTGCACGGAATATTGCAGGCCCTGTTTGACAACCAATTGCTGACTCCGCCCTCTCTCACACCTTGTTCAGGGCGAGCGTTTCGACGCGGTTGGGGCCATTGCCTCTGCGCTCATTCCAGTGCTGGCTATACTAGCTATTTGCACAGGCCTGTATGCTTCATCGACTTATGACCAGGTCCGTGGCGAGCTTGTCGTGGTTCGGATTTTCGGGTAGAAGTCGAATTTAACGTTGCCCCGGCTGTGGTGCAGGGTGCTACGGTCTTCTTGGATGCACCCAAGGGGCCCGAGGACACCGCAAAACTGGTGCCAACGCAGCAACTTCCCGCGGCGCAGCTGCAGCGGGGATGACGTTATGTGTGCCAATTAAACTTGTGCACATGTTACGGACCATCATATGGATTTACTGGGCGTTACAGGAAATTGTGTTCAAATATTGAGTGCAGAGGAGCTTGCACAGCTGTGGGTCAATGCGACGGTATGCAGGCAGTGTGACTGCTCCAGCAGTGGCCACCTCGCCAGCTGCGTGGCCTCAATAGTCTGCCAGCGAGCCATGCCTGTAATTCGCCATTTGGCTGCGCTCCTGTCGCCGCAGCTCCGTGCGGTCGCGCACATCGCACGAGCTCTTGCTGCGGAAGTGGCAACACAATGCGTAGCGTCAGTGGCGCTGCAAAATCTGGCGCACTGCCTGCCCTGCCTAGCCTTCCCCTAGTATTTACCTGCGAAACATGCGCTTTTCGAGTGGCGTCAGCTTCTCCTCCGGCTCCACAGCAGGCTGGAAGTGGAACACCTCGTGCAGCAGCTCGTTGCTCTGCAGGTGACTCTGGAAAGCATCCGCCAGGTATGCCCTGCAGGAGGGAGGGCTCACTGGCCGTTACAAATGAACGCTGAACCGCTGGTGTTGCTTCCCAAATCCAGCCACCAAACCACCACTGTTGCGCAGCCTGTCGCGCTGCCCTCCCCCCACCTCAAGTAGTTAAGCCGGATGTTGTCAGGCAGGCCGCTGACTAGCAGCAGGTCACCGTGTCGCAGCTTAATCTTCTGCTCCGGCACATACTCGCCCTGGAGGCGCAGGCAGGCGTGGTGCAGACATCAAATAGAGCAGTGTAGGCCTCTGGCCTTCTGCCACCCTGCTTTCCTCATGCAATGCAGCCGCACACGCCTTTTGATCTTCAGCAGCAGCAGCAGAGCTGCGTGTTGCCTGCTCCCATCACCCACACACCCCCGCATCGCTCCTGCTTTGCGGCCACCAGCCATCCATCCACCCACCCACCTCGATGATGGCCAACAGGTCACGGAATGTGCCGCGGGAGGTGGCACGGTCACCTTTGTTCAACCGGCTTGCATGGCCACGATTCTTGGCCAGGTCACGCATGCGCTCTACAATGGCTTCCAGGCTGTCCACCTCCTCCTCCTCCTCCTCCTCCTCCCCCCACACACACTCGTCTGCTACAGCTGGGTGTGATTGCTGCTGCTGCTGTTGCGCCTGCCGCTCTTGCTGCAATGCTGCACCATAACCATCCTGCTCCGTGGTTGCTGCTGTCAGCTGCATCTCGGACCATGCTGCTGGCCCCTGCTTGTCGTTGCGACTGGCACTGGCTGCGCCATTGCCTGGGCTGCCGAATGCCGCCATGGCTGCCGCTATCCTCGGGGTTCGTGGTGAACCCACGGCCATGGCCACCAGTGAGTTGTACGTGTTGGTGGCGTTGCTGCTGCTGCGGCTAGGCCGCGGGGACTCAGGCAAGCTGCTCAAATCACCCATGAGCCACAGCAGAGCGACGCCCTCGCCCGTCGCAGCTCGAACATCCACATCGCTGCCGTTGAGCAGCTGCGCCAGCAGGCCTAGGTGTGTTTCCACAAAATGTGAATCCAGGCGATAGGTTGGGACAGTGGTGAGCAGGAATGCCCAGCCCCGAAGTGCAGCCACAACCACTGGCGCCACTGCAGCCTTTTTCCATCCTGCACAGCATTAGCAGGCCTGCATCGGTGAACTTCCTGACGCGGGGACATCGGCAGGCGGCTGAAATGTGTAGCTGGAGAGAGCATCGCCGCAAGTAGTGCAGCAAAGTGGGGACAGCGCACCTCCCAACACGACACGCCATAGTGTCTGCATCGTGTGCAGGGTGTCACTGGCACCCTCGGAGCCCACAAAGCACAGGAGCGACAGCGCCTCCACCCCTGCCACACGTGTCGCACTGCTTTTTCCTGTCAGCACCAATGCCTCCAGCATTGGCTCCGCCTGCACAACCCAGTGAGAGCAGATAAATGCCTTCCACAGTTTCCAATCCTGAACCGCCACATAGGGTTGCTGGCCTGAGCGCCTCCTCACGTGTTGGGGTATGCGGGGCCAGGTCGCTGGTGACCACATACCTCCTGGTAGATGCCCTCGCTAGCGGTGGAGGCGCCCAGTGTGGTCACATGCAGGCCCAAGGCCTTAGCAGCCAGGCACGCCTCGGACTCCTTGCCCTTGCGGATGGAGGACAGGAACAGCTGGGTCAGTGTGTCCTCCCTGCACACCCCAGCAGGCGCAGGCAAAAGGTGTTGGTTCTTCCAAGCTCGGTCCAGGACCTCGCGCCAGCAAAAACCTCGCAGCCAGCCTTGCCGTCGCATTCACGCGCACCTAAATGCACAGTCGTCATAACGAAACTGGGCCAAAAGGGAGACAATGGTGGACAGCCCGCTCTCACGCGTTGTAGCCCTGCACGCCAGAAACGTTCATGCATGCTGCGATCCGGCTGCTGCGCCAAGCAGAGTGTAGCTCATCTGTGGCCGCGTAGCCCACCACACCCAGACCCTCCTCGCACCTTTTCTCATACAGCTGCTCCACAGCGGTGTCAAAGGGATCCACCTCCACCAGCTCCTCTTCAAAGCCTGGCTCTCGCTGGGCCCGCCGCCCGCCGCCACTAGCCCTACTGCCATACTCGAGCGATCCCAAGCTCTCCGTATCGTGCTCGCTGCCCGCCGTGGACGACTTGCCTGCATCTGGCACGGCAGGGCAGGCAGGCACGTGGGCGGGAAGATCGAATGCGAAGCTTGGGTGGGGCGGCGCGGGCGGGCCCGCAGCGGTGCGCCGATCACTGGCACGGGCTGCCACCTTGCCGCCCGCTGAACCCTGCATTTCACGTGCCGAAAGCTCTTGCAACAGCCTGTGACGCGTGGGCTACGACACACAAGCATGCACCCCGCCTTGAAGTGTAGCTCCAAGGGCACCCTCTCACGTCTGCCCATGGGATGATGTCTGCGCCCCAGATAAAGCTGGGTTTGCTGCAGCGTGCTCAAGAGCGGGCGCAAACAAGCGTCGCTCAGCCCTGCCGATAGAGGCGCTCTATGGCGTGCACGGAATTACACAGCCACAGCAGGGGAAAACGAGACCAGAACCTCTGCGTCGTGAAGGCGGGGCAGGAAGGAAAGGGAGGGGGGCAGGAAGGAAAGGGAAGGAGGAGAAGGCGTCTGTGGCAGGCGGGGCACAGGGAATTGCTGGCTGCAGCGATACCAGGCCGCCAACTGCGATGCAGCTTTGTAACTAGCCACCTTCACGTCTGCTTCTTGCGCAACTTGGGATCCGCCGCGGTGCCACGCAGCCACTCTTCCTTGTTGGAGGATGTGGCAGCTGTACAGGCAGGTGCAGGGGCGAGGGGGCTCTTTGAAGTGCAGCACAAGGGGGTCACCAACGGAAGGCAGGCCACATCGTGCAAATGTAACAGGTACACACCTGGCCGAACAACAGGCTTCGACTTCTTGATCCAGCCCTTGCTCTTGGCAAACTCCGTACCCGAATACACTGCAGGCAAGGCAAGGTACCCGAATACATGCGAGGAAGGCATGCAGGCGATAAACAACAGGCCACAACGCTTCCACCACGCAAAGCAGCGCTGCGGAAACACCGCACGCAGCAGCTCGCGCGCTGATGTTTGGCATGCAGGAGGCAGCCCAACCAACGTGCGGGAAAGGCCTGCAGGGAGGTGGCGGCACGCACCAATGCCGGCCAGCGCCGCCAGGCCGATGAGGTAGAGGCCGATGAGCTGGGTGTCAAACAGTGTGGGCTCCTCAATCACGTTGATGGTCTCATTGAAGAACATCTTCTGCTGGTATTGGCTGCCCAAGGAGTAGATGAGGTTGACCTTGAGGATAAATTCACGTGCCGGCAGCTGGCGAGGGAAGAAGATGGCGTACTCGGCGCTCGTCTCCTCGCCCGGCGCCAGCGGCACGTCGCCCAGAAACTGCATGCAGGGGCAGCGGCCCGGTTTGCACAGCATTAAATGTGTCTGCTGTGCTGTCTGGTAACCGCCACTGCTGCATGAACCAGCGCCATGCCAGCAACGCCTGGGGGCATAGGCTCTTCTTGACGACACCCGGCCCCGCCCCGCTGTCCCATACCACCAACCCCACCCCCGCCCCTGCGCCGAGCCCTCCCCCGCACCGAGCCGGTGAAGTTGAACAGGTTCATGGAGGCATTGTACGGAGAGGCCAGGTTGGCCAGCGCGTAGGTAACGTTCAGGGGCGCCACGCCCGTGTTGCGCACACCCAGCACACAGCTGGCCGCCTTGCCCGGGAAGAATGACATGGTGGGGTTCTCTGGCCACCAGTGCAGGACCTGCACATCCTCTTGCGCCTGAGCAGCGCTGGCTGCAACAGCAGGGGAGGCCAGCACATGCCGGCACTCAGGCCTTTGCGGCGGACGGTGCTCCCGGCGAGGGGGCGGGATGTGATGGTCGCGACCAGGGGCGCAGCAGGCGGGTGGCACGGCCGGCAGCCCGAACTCAGCCAGTTGGGCGTGTGTGCAGGCGCGGGGTCAGGGCAACAGAGTCGCGAGCAGCACCGGTCTGATGCGGCACCGTGCGGCCATCAGGCACAGGCGCCCTCTGCCGCCCACCGACAGACTCACCCAACAGCACAAGGGCTGCCAGCGGCAGCACGATATTGCGCAGCCCGACCGCCATTTCTGCGCTGCCCTCTGCGGGTGCAGCTCTGCAGCTGTGTCGGGAGATGTGGCAAGGGAATGAGTGATGGGCGCGGGGTGCTCCATCAAGCGTGACATGCTGGGGCACCCACAGCATGTGGCTCCCCGCCTCTCCCTCACGTTGGTCGGCACCAGCCAAAATGGGGCTCCCTTAACATACAGCACCTTGCATCAAAGAGTGGCTGGTTGAGAGTGGCTGGAACCACCAACCTGGGCCTGTGCAAAGAACTTGGGCCACAGTCTGAATGAGCCGGTGCAGGGTGCGGCAGTGTTGGTGCGACTGGCCACCCGTATGCTGGCTTTGAATACCAGTAAACACAGTTGTCAATATCAAGACACAACACAGTTCAGGCGGGAGCGAGCATATGTGGGATGGGAAGCGCCAGCCTACCCTCTGGGCCAACGCGGCACAGTTCGGTCGGCCGCCACTTGCAGGTTGGCGGCGGGTGGCTGTGCCGGCTGTGTCGGCAGGCGGAGCGGTGCAGGGGCAGCAGCGCTCCTCTGACAACTATTTAGGGTTGGCCTCGCCCAATGCTGGGCCAGGTGGACCAGCGCCACGCGGCCTATCCCCTGGCAAATCCACACCCATTTCGCCAGGCAAGCCCCAGTTGTTCTTAAAACTTTACCATAACAAAACAATGTCCCTGGCCGTGCGCGCAGCCTCAGCCCCTGTCGCCGCTGCGGTGGCTTCGGGTCGGTGCCGGCGGGGTCGTGTGTTGTGCCAGGCTTCGCACACAGAGGAGAAGAAGCCTAAACAAGGCCTTCTGGGGCAACTGCGTGAGCTTGGTAAGTCGCGTTGCCCACGTTCCTCTAGCTGCAGCGCTTACCACGCCTCTCCTGAGACTTTGCTGCTCTGCCATGCGACCTGCAGGCCCCATTGGGCTCACCATCGGCAAAGACATCCACTTGGTGAGCTTGCCGCGCTGGCGCTTGCGCCGCCGCCACGAATACATGTTTGCAGCTGGCAGTCATAGCAGCTGGTTCTTCCCGATCTAATGCCGCCTGTTCCGCCTGCCTACCCCCAGGATGAGGCCCCTGTCGCCAAGGAGCCAAAGCAGCAGGCCAAGAAAACCGCCGAAGGCGCGGCGCAGATGGTGCAGCGTGCTGCCGACGCTGCGGGCGTCAGCCTGGGCCCCATTGGCCTCACCATCGGCAGCGATCTGAAAAACATCAGCCTGGATGAGGAGGAGGGCAGCAGCAGTAATGGCAGCGAGCCCAGCACACGGCCCAAGAGCTACGCCAGCTTGACCACCGCTGAGTGGCGGGAGCTGTATGAGAAGGAGGGCGCGGTGGACCTGTGGGTGCAGGAAGAGTTCAACTCGGGGTCGCGCCTTGTTGTGAGCCAGGGATGGGGGTAATGGGGCGGCTGCGTGGCGGGCCGTGTGGAAATTCTCCAAAATGGCTTTCAACGGCGGCAACATGCACACCAAGCAGCAGCCTTTTGCCGCTGCGCAGAGATGGGCAGGAGGCCAGTGGGCCGAACAGTCCTCACCCGCCTGTGCTTGCACCTGCTCCTGCTTGTCCAGGGCGGCAGCGCAGTGTACCGCGGCGGCGTGGCGGGGCAAGGGTCGGGCGAGGGCCCTGGCGCCAGCAGTGCCCAGTCCTTCAAGGTCAAGATCATCAACCACTATGCCGAAGAGGAGGTGGATGTGGAGGTGCCAGAGGACAGGTGCGGCATAGCAGAACGCAGCACCGAGGGCTGGGGGAGGTCGTCAGCCCCCGCACACTGCAGTACTAGATGTTGCTCTGCTTGCCCACACTGCTCCAGCCATGCGGCGCCCTGCTGCAGGTACATTTTGTGGGCGGCGGAAGAGCAGGGCTATGAGCTGCCCTACGCCTGCCGCCTGGGCTGCTGCACCTCGTGCACAGTCAAGGTGAAGGAGGGCGAGATGTTTCAGCCGCACAGCCTGGGCCTCAGCAAAAGCCTGCGGGACCAGGTGGGTGGGCAGGGCACGAGGGCCGTGCGAGCAATGCCTGGACTGCAGCCGGATGCCTTGAGATTGTGTGCAGCAGCGAGTGCACGTGTGTGCGGTGGCTGGCCTGATGATGTCTTCCGGCCGAGAAGCGTCGGCAGATCTGCTCAAGCTGCCATCACCCTATGCCTCTGCTGCAGGGCTATGCACTGATGTGCGTGGGCTACCCATTGAGGTGTGCCTGCCTGCTTGCTGGCCGGGCTTGTGCTTGTGGCAGTTGGGCTGTGTACATGCCTTCAGCTCCTCCTGATTGCAGCCCTGCTTTGTTGCTGCAGCGACCTCGTGTTGGAAACGGTGCCAGAGGATGAGGCGTATGAGCTGCAGTTTGGACAAACTTTTGCCGAGCGGGCGGTGGACCCCAATGCGCCCTCTGTGGAGCGTGACGATTTTGCCATTGAGCTGGCCATGCTGGACGAGTGATCGTCTTTGTGCGACGGCCGCTGGGGCACCTGGCGCCCTTCTTGTTGTTTGTCCACCCTTTGCTTCCTCTTTGTGTGCACATTGGCCTCGTTCCATTCTGTCCGTATGACCCTGCCTGCTGCATGTTGCCTAAAGTTTTACATTGGGGCTCATCCATGATCAGGGCTCGCCTCTTCCGACTGCTTCCCTGGGAGCCCATGTAATCAGTGCTGCCGTGCACCTGTCCCACCGTGTGCGTGGGATGCCACGCTACCAGGGGAAATGCCTGCCAGCTGTGCTCACCTGGTGACCTCACTACATCCCCATCGGCTCTTCGACCTGCACTGCAATCCAGACTGCAACGCGACGGTAAATGTCCTAAACACAATTGGCGCCAAAGATGCACGGGCGGGCACTTATGTAGCCTAAGTATAGCGCGAGGAGTAACGACAGGTACTGAAACCAACATCAACCATGCTCTCTGAGATGAGAGACACCATACGAATCTGGGCCATCAAGAATAAACAGACGCGGACTACAATGTATTCTGAGGCTTCTCCTGGCAAACTTAGCACTGCTGGAACCCGCATCCAGCACATGTTCAGGTGGAAACGTGCATGCGGGGCAGTGGTTTCCAGTGCTGCAAACCAACCCTCTGGGTGTAGGGGCAGGCAAAACACCGGAGGCCTACACAACTGATGTGAGCTAGTCTCACCCAACCCTAACATTAGGTACGTTTGAGTACTGACTGCAAGTAGACAATAGGAACAGACAGAAGAACTTGGCAACAAAGAAAACAGTGCGAATTTTTTCTGTACACGAAAGCGTGGATAAGAAAGTGCTGCAGGCAGCAAGGCGCAGAAGTAGTATGCGATCGGGGAAGACCCAACGTGTGCCCGTTAGTAAGGGCGGTACCGCTGCTGGCCGCCAGTGTTGCTACGCCCCAAGGGCATGCGGCCATAACCGCTACCGCCCTCGCCACTATCAACACCAGCGGCACCGCCGCCGATGCCTGATGCCGCCATGCCAGCCACACCATAGCTGCTGGTGCCACCCGCCATCCCGTAGTTGAGGGGGTGGCCTGCCATCCCCGCCATGTTGCCAACCCCGCCCGCCATGCCCGCCATGCCTGCCATCGGGTTAAAGCCGTACCCGCCCACAAGGGCACCCATCGCTGCAGGCATGCCTCCCAGGCCACCTGCTGCCGCCGCATTCACGCCAGCCGCATCCATGCCTGCACCAGAGTTTGGGGCAGACCAGACCTTGTTGTGAGGGCGGCCACAGGTACCAATTGCTAGCCTGTATGAGAGGCAGGGGCAGTAGCGGTGAGGATGTGGCACGCAGACTGAGCAAAGTGGCATTAGCTTGCCTCCCAGGCCCATCATTGCCGGCATGCCAGCTATGGCACTCATCGGCATGCCTGCAGGCAGCCAGGTGTACCATGCTCTGCTTGAGCCACGGAGCTGTGAGTTGGAACAACATGCGCGCACAAGACCGCCAGGAGGCACTCGTTGCTTGCTCACCTGGTGGCATGCCCATGCCACTCACAGCCAAGTTAAAGTTCTGCATCGGATGCATGCCTGTCATGCTTCCCATGCCTGCACATGACCAGAAATGAGGGATGATGACAGGTGTTAACCGCACACCTTCTAGAGCTCGCGTGTTCAGGCGAGGCATGCCAGAAAAAGCCAACCGCTGCTAGCTGAAACCCTGACTTGCTGTTGCATTCCGATGCGCCAAGCACTACAGTGCACATTGGGGCTGGTGCCAGGCACCAGCAGACCTACCTGGGATGGCAGCATTCTGCAGCATGCCTGCAACCAGGCCCGCTGGCAGCACGCCGAGCATTGCTGGGTTAATGATGCCAGCGCTGCCCATGCCCATCAGCATGCCCGCAGGGTTACCGCCCCCAGCAGTGCTGCCACCGGTGCTGCCCCCAGGTGCATTGCTGCGCCGCGTCTTGCATCTGAAGCACCACATGCAGCAGCAACAGTTCAGCGCAAGCAAACGTGCACCGCATGCCCTGGGGGGGGGGGGGGGGGGGGGGGCGG